AAAGTCTTTGCGCACATTTCTAGGCATGGTCAGTTATTACCGACGGTTTGTTCCTCAATGTGCACATATTTACAGGCACTCACAGACCTACTAAAGAGTAAGAGCAAAACATTCAGCATGACACCAGAGGCTCGAGAAGCGTTCCAGAAAATTAAGTCGGTGATTGCAGACGCCACCATGCTAGTTCACCTAGACGTCCAACTTCCGCTTAGCATCTCAGTTGATGCATCTAACACAGCCATTGGAGCTGTTCTACAGCAACAGGTACATACCTCATGGATACCAGTCGCCTTTTTCTCTCGGAAGTTGTCCGCTGCTGAAGCGAGGTATAGCACCTTTGGCAGAGAACTCCTCGCCACATACGCGGCTATCAAACGTTTTCACCATTTTGTCGAAGGTCGGAAATTCACAGCATATACCAATCATAAGCTTCTGACGTACGCCCTTCACACCACTACAGACAGGTTCTCACCACGTGAACTACGCCACTTGGACTACATTTCACAGTTCACTTCCGACATCCATCACGTTTCTGGAGCTGATAATCCTGTAGCAGACGCGTTGTCTCGCATATGCGTTATGTCAGCGCCATCAACCATAGATCTTAATAAAATGGCTGAACTTCAAATGAAAGACTTGAACTTAGAACACCTGTCAAACGAAACCTCGCTGAGAATAGAACGTGTTCCCCTACCAAACAGCGAAGCATCCATACTGTGTGACATGTCAAGGCGCTCCTCGACCAATTATCCCTAGGCCTTTACGTCACACTGTGTTTGAGTGCTTATACAACCTCTCCCATCCTGGGATTCGAGCAACGAACAAGTTGATATCGGCCAGATTCGTGTGGCCTGGTATCAGCCGCGATTTGCGTCAGTGGACACGTGCTTGTGTTAAATGCCAACGTGCCAAAGTAACCAAGCATAACATCAAACCGTTGGGGACTTTCGCAACCCCAGATGCTCGTTTCCACCATATACACTTGGATATCATGAGGCCCCTACCCCCTTCCATTGGTTGCTCGAATATACTCACGTGTGTGGTTCGCTTCACGCGTTGGTCAGAAGCCATTCCGATACCAGATGTAACGGCCCAAACCATCTGCCGTGCGTTCATGGAAGGCAGGGTTGCCCATTTCGGATGTCCCGCCACTGTCCCTACCGACCGAGGTCAACACAAGCTTCAAGTAACTCTTAGACATGCTGAGATGCAAGCGTATTCGGACAACCGCGTATCATCCAGCGGCAAATGGGCTAGTAGAGCGTTTTCACCGCCAATTAAAAGCCGCATTGATCGCAGTAGACAACAGTAGGTGAACGGATTCTCTGCCCTTGGTCCTACTTAGCATCTGGGCCACACTCAAAGTGGATCTACAATGTTCCTCAGCCGAATTGGTGTATGGCACTACGCTGCGTTTACCAGGTGAGCTTGTCGCCCCTGACACTTTCGAGCAAATTTTCCCTGATATCACCTGTTACGCTCAGAGGCTTAAAGGTTTTATGCAGCAAATCCGACCCGTTCCAACATGTACTCAAAACCGGAAAGTACATGTCGATAATCGACTTGATGATTGTACTCATGTTTTCGTGCGTCATGACGCCGTGCGTATTACCCAATGCCACACTCCAGCAGATCAAGAGAAGGATTGATTCGACAGTCATCTGTGAATAGTGATTTAAAAGGTCTCAAGTGACCACATCTGAATCCTAACGGCTGATATGAATGCAAGCCTCTCTAAGAGCAGACAACACAAGATAACTTAAAATGGGTTGGTGGGGAAATGGACGAAAACGGCGAAGTAATCGCAGATTTTTGCTTCTTCAGTGATTCTACGATTGGAGGCTATATGTATGTGCACGGAGGCATACATAATGCGATGTGGGTTTCACACGAAAAATTCACCTCAATCTTAAGAAGATGGAGATACACCCTACCTCACACCATATCAAGAAGAGAAATGGATTCACTCAGTGACCATTACCTGGTCAAATTGGAAGCCTTCAACAAGGCTGCAGACAGAAACTGAACGGTGAAACTATAAAAGATACTTTCATCGGAGTCATCGGAAAAAGATCAGACAATAAGCAACACCTAGGAAACTGTCAAGTGAACTGAAGTTGCTAAAAACAACGAGGTAGAAAGCCAGTAGAAACATTCTAGACGGGATAATAAAACCAAAACTTGAGTGCGGCTTTGTGGACTATGGAGGCTAATAGAGAAGAGAAGTAGGGTGACTTAGAAGATGAACCAATACAAAGATGAACAAGGAAACCAGAAGTCGAGTGCAATACTATTATTAACCGATATTATTACACTTAAATAAACAAGGTAGTGAAGCAGTGTTATGGAAGACAAAAGACGGTTTAAAAAATGCTAGCATCTGAGACCAAACAGGGACCAAGTGAGATAGATCACTGAACGTTTTACTAAACAGTCATGGTGATACCAGGAGGAGGCCATCACAGATAGAACCGATGAGACATTGTGAAGGAGAGCTAATTGCTAAAGAGAAACAACAAATGAAATGACTGGTTGATAGCTTCAAAGGACTCTTGAATCGACCAAGACCTGCAGCAGGCCTGAAAATACCACTTACAGTCACAGGGAACCGACAATTCAAGAAAATCGTAGGCCTTAAGATAAATAGGTTTTCTAAAATTTGGGTGTCATCATTTCAATTACGCTCGGTGACGTTGAAGGTACGGCTAGGAAAGCAGTACTGACTTTCGGTACTTGAAATCAGTTTGAAAACTTAAATCATACAAGGAACAAGACCCAAGCTTTCAGAGCTAATTTCAAGTAGCTTCTTCTACTTGGTCCACAGACACTGAACGAAGGTCTCAAAACGCATTTCCAGCAGTCTGTGTACTATAACTAACATTTGTTCTCGCTTGATACGGGAGACCAGAGAGGGGTAGGCAGGTAACAAGGAACTCTAACAATGAACCATGCAGTTTATCACCTGGGAAAAATGCAAGTGGAAACGGAGACGGAGTGGACATGTCTGAAGAGACATCCAAGGGAAAACCCGCCTATTATTGGCCCTTGGCTGTAATCCGAATGGGAAACGATTGGTTAAAACGCTGATAAGGAAGTCCTCTGAAGACAAAAGATGTGCCGCAGAGGCCATATGTTTAACTCGGTACTCAAGGAATGAATAATGTCAAATAAATACCTCGTTTCGCCAGTTGATTGAGAAATTCTATTCATAAAATCGCTAAGTGACGCTTCGACTTTAATACGCTAATATCTACCAGATAACTATCGCATCCGAAATTCAGGAAACGAGATAGTTTAGAAATACACATACGAATAACTGAAACCATTTTGTTCTGAAAGTCATGAATAAGCCGCAATAATAGCTTTGTTTTATCTGTAATATAATACCCATTAGAGAGTCGTTGTTGCTTCCTGACCTACTGAAAATATTGATTCCGTATAAATGAATGAGGAATCAGTGTGATGAGCGCACTACTTTAACAGACACGTTTGAATAGAATATAAATTTTAAATAAGAAGGTTTGTCGAGAGTTTAAGAAGCTCTCAGTAGGAAATGATTACAAGAACCATAATCAGTAGTAATAACGCCCATGCATTATTTTTGAAGGCACACACCTACTTCAAGTTTATCTGTCTTCACCTTAATTATGCATTCCAGCTTGGGAAGTGTTGTGCTGAAAAATTCAAAACAATAAAGTCCTTATGATAAACGATTACTGAAGTGAACTACGTATCAGTGCATGACAGAATATAGAACATATAGTATTGAGCGTGCATCCATAGAAAAATGTAGACGATTAGGCATGCTTCAAATTTACTGTCTGAGTAAAGATCAAACCTGAAGCCAATGCTTCCATACATCTGTGTGATTTGTTCATATCCACATAAATACGTATTGTTTTGACGAAATTGTATTAGCCGTACATTCGATATTTGCATCAACTGTCCTTCAAAGTTCTATTAGGGTGAAAAAATACACAAAGTAAATGGAAATCCTAATATGAGAATAAGAAACTTGCCCAAAATTAACATCATATTTTTTAGAAGAGCCATAAGTCCTCCGTAGTGTACAAGCACGAATGTGTTATGACCAACTTCACATAGGTCCATTTCAATGTGCACGTTCACCTGTTGAGATGGTTGTGATGGCATAGTTAAGTCGCAACGACTGAACTAAATGCTTATTATTTTAACTGACCCATATTTCATCATCTAACTCCTGCTCATCTTCTTTTGCCATGGAAAGGTTTAACTGTCTACATTCTGTTATACCCCTTAGTTAAATTTGAAGTTCCAAGTATTTTTGTAGGTCTTTTTCTCAAAATTGTTATATATGAGGACACAGTAACGTTTAGGTAAGCCTTTTAGTACAGAAAATACTTGAATCTAATCATTAATTTTCAAAATTAGGTCTGAGTTCATTAGATTGGTTTCCTAGTAGCCCTTCATTATTGTTTAGAAATGAGTGTCAAGATAAAATTTGCCTGCCGGATACATTTACACGCATTATCATTATTAACATTATTGCATAAGTCAAAGACCTTGGGATTGTATCAAGTGACAGACCCTCGGGGCGATTCCAGAATAGTGGACAAGCAAATTAGTTGTTCTGCAAAACATTTCGACAACTTCATTAAAAATGTAAGCATATTGGGACGTTTTGCTTAAGGTCACTTGAAGAGATGTACAACTGAGAATGATCCATTTGGTCAACCTTGCAATTGCATGATAATATTTTGCCACAAATCATTGCAGTGGCAGCATATAATGTGGAAGGTAACGAGGAATGTCTCTGTGGTGTATGCCATTACTTTCCGTCTTTATTGACGTCCGATGAAAGTTTTAGTGGGTGAGGAAGTGAAAACAGCTTCTTGAACATATGAAACACTGTAATCTATTAAAAGACATTAAGAAACTACAGTTTATGTTGGTATACCTTCTCGTTCTCGCGTTTTAATTAACGTAGCGTTAAATTTACAAGGTCATCCAAAAATTCGAACTGAAGGTCATTGTCTATGTTGCATCGTTAAAATAGGTATAGTCCTTAAGATGTACTGTATGCCTCCTTGTCTTCACGGAGGCTGCGATTTTCATTAATGTTTTCCCTAAAATATAGTTTAAACAATGGAAACGAATTATAACGTTACAGTCGTACTTAAATATAAATTTAGAAATGTAGACCGTGATAGTAAATGAAGCGGTTCGAGTAACTAAGGGATGCTACATTTTCTACTTCCGTGGAATATTGTATTTCCGAGCATATAATGTTGGTATACACGTGTAGTTACTCATGTACCTTATGTAGTAGAAATAGCAAAGTTAAAATTTATGTACCAGTAAGTACCAACGGACAAATGACCCTGAACGCCGCAACCCCATGATAAAGGCGGTTTGTGCCTATATATATCCATGAAAACAATGAATTAGTATGTATGAAGCTGTTACACAGGATGCCTTTCTCTGACGTTTGACAAAAATACCCCTTACATTTGGTTTGGTGTGTCAACAGAGTAACTTAACCACATTATATACATGTATTCACCAAGGTCTTCTAACCCCAACAATAACCCTAGCGTCAAAATATTCCTAAGATAACCATTATCTATCTCGAACCAACCCTAATGCCACCCTCGCTAGGTTAACCTAACCTTAACCTGTCCTTAGCCTAACCTATAACTGGTCCGATATCTCATTTAATTACACAACACCTCATTAAGCATGTTTTATTCATGATTACAAAATTAATCACCAGGTTTCACTAACTTGCTTACTGAGAGTTTCAAGGTCATTGATGTGGTCGCTCTCCGTTGGTGTTTGCTGGTGCTTAAAGTGTAACTTGGTTGTAGAAACTTCGGCCCCACTTAGAAATGTACATCTTCTAGCAACACAAAAACGTAAAAGTGGGAATTCCATTAAATAAAAATGTCTGCGAGTGCTGGCAGGGAATCTTGTTTTACCATTGTTTCACGTTACTGTTGTCCTATTTGTTAGTTTGCTTACGTGATCGAAACGTTTCGTGTGCCGCTGTTTTTATGGAATCTGTTACTTACCACTTGAGCATATTCAGCTTTATGTCAGTAAGGAAAATTATTGGTGTCAGTTTTATTGCAAGATATTGTTAGTATTCAGGCTTCTAGCTGTATACTAATCGAAGCAAATGACTTTTTGTTGTATACTTGAAATATTCGTTGTCAGCTAAACTTACTGTTATTTTTTTTTATCTAAAGACCACCTAAAATGGCTTAAGTCAAGAGATATGTCATATAATATGAGTGAACTAAAATCAAACTGATAGCTAACTGTGGCTCCTAAATCTGTAGTGCCTATGATACCACTTGAGTTTTATAATTTATTTACAATTCAAGTATTCTTTGCCATTCCATCTTGTGGCTCGTTAGTTAATGAACAAATTCAATGTTTTGATGTTCGCTCCAGTTAAGCGAACACAACCGAATCCAGTTGTGAATCATGGTACATGACTTAATATAAAAAAGTCTTTAGCTTCCTCATTTTGTGAAAATCCTCTATGGTCAGATTTCGTGCTGCATTTGATCTTTGTCTGCAGTTAAATTATCATCTGCGGATTCACAATCTGTCGGTTGTTGATGTCCGATAAGTTTATTGATCATTAGCCTAGTGCAAAGTATAAAATCCGACATGGACAACCGCGTTACATAAGCGTTTTTCTAATAAACTTGACAGATTCAAGTTTCTTGATTACTTTTATACTGATATGCATAAACACAATTATTCAAATAGCCTAGCCGTTAGAATTCAGTTACCTGAAACATACTTTTTTGTACCAGACTAGGAACTATGCTTATTGCGTGAATAGTGATAATACCGTCCAGTTGGTCAGGCAGAAATATTTGGAGCTGGGTTGGAACCTTTTTGTATGACCATTAACGCATATTATATAAATATGCTTCTTTGAACTCATCCCTACACAACTAAGGTTCTAAATGTAGCATAACTTATTTTATCATGTTAGATGGAGGCAATGGGTAGAAAGCCTTGCTTGACGTAGGTTTCGTAGTAGTTGGCACTAACCAGTCAGCAAGGCGTATCTGCAACCTTGAAACTCATGTCACTTCTGAGATTCGAACCCGCGTCACCCACTGCTGCAGTCAGAAACGTTACCACTGAGCTTTTCGAGCTCACTATTGGCCTCCTGACTAGACACATCACATTAGTTACCAGTGTCCAATCAAAGAATAACTTATTTTGTGTTTTTATTTTATCCATAGTTTCCTAATGCGGCTGCTTAAACCGGTCTGGGTAACCCATGGATTTCTTTCGAAGGACAAAGCTGTTGGTAGGTGTCCGATAATTTTACTTTATTCCTCACATCAGGTCGACCAATATATAGTCTTGACATACATCCTGATGGCTCACGTTTAGCTACTGGTGGAGTGATTGACACATGCGGAGTTGTCATTTTGTGGAATATGGCACCTATTCGTGATCCATCACTGGAGTCCGATGAAAACTCTTGTCTCAAGCTTTTTCAAATGGACAGTCATCAAGGTAAGCTTGTGAACTAGTTAATCCTATGAGTTACTTTTAATCGAGAAAAGTCATTAAGTTTTTGCAAAATTCTATCATTTTATCAAATGGCATTCATCTTGTTGTCAGTTATTTAAGGCTTCGTGTGCTTTTGGAAGTGTGTGGGTGGTTGTTACTTCCCGTCTGCCCACACCGTGAAAGTTGATTGATTCTTCGGGAACCTGAAACAGAAAGTGTTGCGTGACCGCAGAGTCAAGGGGACAACTGCTTGAGGCCGGTCACACGCGGCCCGTTTTTGTTTGTTCTTTTTTGTTTGGTGTGTCTCAGTAGCATATTTATCACTTCTGCCCTGTGACACGGCAGCAGGAAGCGCGGTCGTTGTTAATCCGGGCCCCGACCGATCCGGCATGATATTTTGTGAATTTGTTTGAATCATAGTATTGGATTGGGTAGCTGCTTTTTGTCTAACCGCTATCCAAACAACCTTTCTGGCATGGTAGGACCTCAAGCGACATAAGTCTCAGCCAGTATAGGTTGTAGGGTCATTGCGGTGTTCAAGCTCGACCACCACGTCAAGGTAGCAGCTTTCGGTGTCAGTTATTTAATTGATCTGGGATTATCTACGCCTTCCCCTTCTTTTTAGGTTGACATCTATTTACTTTTAAATACAACTTACTACATCACATAAGTTTATTGTCTGACAGTGTTAGGACTCTCGCCGACCGTGCACATGTCCGGGTCGATCCCCTGCCGACGCACACCCGATATCTATGGTCGGCCTGCAAATTTGCACCGATAAATGAATCGTACTTATAGTCGTGCATTAAACACTGTGCTGGCACTAGGTTTTCATTGCTTATGTAAAAATTTTAGGGTTTCCTTTGAATCGCTTTTTCCTAGAGATTTCAATAACTTGTGTAAGTATTAAGAAGCCATATCAAGTAGTTTACCTAAAGGGGACACTACATTGGTGTTTTTTTTCGACAATAGTGTAATATCCGAATTTATCATTTTCGAGAAAGACTCCTCAGTAAATGCAAGATTTTATTTTTCAGCTTGTGTTAATTGTGTCCGTTGGTCACCAACTGGTCGTTGGTTAGCCTCTGCTGGAATGGATAAAGTTATAATGCTCTGGTCAAAAACAGCGTAAGTTGAGTATTGCTTTCACCTACTTTAATTTTTATCATTGTCGTCTTATCAGCTGGCGTGTTTGTATAGTTTATTCAGTGTGACTGACTGACTGGTTTCAAAATAGAACTTTGCACAGATGTGCAGTAGTTCGAGTTACCATACTCCATGTAGTACACAAAGCAAGAAAAGAGAGCAAAGAAAGGCTCAACAAAAGAGAGATAATAAATAGAAATGTCAGTCAAAAAGAATAGTAATATGGAAGAACAATAGAATTTTATTGGATTTTATTCCGCGCCATTGTATTATTATTATTATAATTGTATCCTTTAATTCCTAGAGGAACATAGGGCTTCAGCCGTGCGTCTCCATTGCGTTCGGTTCTCTGCTAGCGTCTTCACTTGGCTCCATGTCTGCCCACACGTTTTCATCTCTTCACACGACTTCCTCCATGTCACCCCACTCTCGCACTGACGACCAACTCGCCGCTTCTCTTTCGGGTTCCACTCGAGCAATGGCTTGTCTAGTGATATCACTTGATGGTTTCCTCAGAGTATGGCCAATCCATCTCCATTTCTTCCTGCCTATTTGTTTCACAATCGGTTCCTGGTTGGTTCGCTCCCAGACATCTCTGTTGGTGGTCTTTTCTGGCCATCTGATCTTGAGTATTGAGCGAAGACAACTGTTAATGAAGGTCTGTAGTTTGTTTGAGATGCTCTTTATGACGCGCAGTGCAAGTCTCTGATCCGTATAGTAGCACTGACTTCACATTGTAGTTGAAAATCCGGATCTTATTTTCGATGCTCAGTGCCGTTGACTTCCACAGAGACTTGAGAGTAGTGAAAGCTTGTCTTGCTTTTCCGATTCTTGCTTTGATATCCTCGTCAGTTCCGCCTGTAGTTGAAACGATGCTTCTCTGGTAGGTAGGTAAAAGAGGTTGTTTCTTTCAGGTTCCTCCCATTTATGCTGATTGTTGTCTGTTGTTGTTGCTGTTGCTGTTGGTGGTGTCGCCCAGGAATCTTCATTACCTCTGTTTTCTCTATGTTCACCTGAAGTCCTATCTTTGATGCGCCATTGTATGGTTATATGTTAATATATGCACTGCAACAACCACACTTTCTTCTAGATTAAATAACTTGGTAGAGTAAGTCATTCTTTATTACTTTATTTCTTTGTGTTCCCAGTGGAAGATTCAGCGGCAGAGGTGCATTTCTACAGGATGGGGTTGCTAGCCTCACGCCCAACCCTACCTGTTTACCGGGCTTACTATCAGCTAAGCGAGGTGAAAGGAGTGTGTCGGTCGGGGATCGAACTCCTGACCACTTGCGTTGTTGACCAAGTGTTCTACCACTGAACCACCGACGTCGCGAAAAAATATGGAACGCTTCACAATTTTGCGTGTCATTTGCTAAGTCATTCTAGATCCAGCTAAATTCTTATGTTCCGATAATCTAGGCTAGTTTGACCTATATAGCTGACTTCACATTCATCACATGGTATTTGGTAAATTATATTATTTTGCTTAATTGAATCTACCGGGTCTTTGGGCCGACAAAGATTTTTTCTCTCTTGGTTTATTCGCCAACCTAATTCCAACATTATTAAAAATCCTACGTAGGGCCTCTGATGTCGCTCCTTTATATGGCATCACTACCGAGAATTTTAACTTATTATTATTTTCACTACTACTTTTATTTTTCTTATGGTTCTTCATACATATTTCAATAGATTCTGGTAGTTATTCAATAGCAGCGTTTTCCTTTTTGTTTTTTGATTTCCCAACATAAATGTTCTGAATTACCAGTTCCGTTCTTCGTCTGATTACATGCAAACATTTAACTAAACCTGCCTTTATCAATTTTCAATGGGATCAATTAAAGTCTAAGTATTTATTAGAATTTGTCAGAGTACTAGATCGGCTGAGAATTTTTTTAGTCGAATTCATAATCGTATTTATAGGTTGTTTCTTTAATCTCCTCATATCGACCTTGTTGGTGTTATCTGATATCTCCAAGATCAGTCTTGTCTGACTTAGCAATTATTATATTCTTGTAATGCGTTCGGCTTTTTGGAGCTGTTATTTCTTGCTATCGTGAGTTTTTCCCCCACTTTCTTCTACTCCATTGCCTTATGAATCAGACTTCAAGTCAAAGTTTCCATGATCGACCCCTTAACACAACCGTCTGGGTTTCCAAGTACTTCTGTAGTCCTCACACAAACTATGGAATTTTTTGTGGTGTACCTGTTAACGCCCATAGTTTCCCAAGTTTTCATTTTAATATTTAATCATAGTAATCTTTTTGTTATTTCCTATGCACCAATGAAGCAATGCCTAGTTTTAATAAAATATGATGTGTAACTGTGGTTTTCTGTCTTCGCAGTGTTACTTCCCGTCCAATTCAAGTATTTGGGTCAAAAGAACCAACAAAGTTTACAGAACATTGGCGTTGTGTATCAACACTTCGTGGTCATAGTGGAGGTAAATTGTTGATTTTTACATTATGTTATGTCGTTTGGTATGAAACCAGTTTAATTAGCACGTTGGTTGCACGCAATTTATTATCTGGAGCTATGACCGAGAATTGCGCAATTAGTGGCAAATGCTCTGCAATTTCCTTCTTTCTTTCCTTTCTAAAAGTAACCTGAAGGGATGAATGTTGATTGATCTTTGCAAGTGTGCTTGCCTGCTTGCTTTCTGGATGATGGCCCTCATTCATTCTATCCTTATTTTCTGTATATTTGGTTTTTTATTATTGTTGTTTGGCGGATTTCTGGGTGCCCCATATGGTACCAAGTTTGTGTCGCAGTAAATAAATCGCCTGTCTTTTTAAGGTGTACGAAAATGAGTGATTCCAAGTGACCGTTTTCTGTGTAAGGCATCTCCTTTACTCAGGCAGGTTTTCAGTAGTAAGCTTTTATGCGCTATCCTATTCTATTTTACTGGTTCATCTTTGGTCCAGAGATAGAACGCTCGCCAGCCACGCACATGGTTAGGGGTTCGACTCTCGACCGATACATTCCTATACGTCGCTAAGCCGGTAGTAAGGCCGGTAGAGAGAGGAAGTTAGACGTGAGGCTATCAACTCCGCCCCGAAAAGTAAAACCACTGCTACTGTAACTTCAAAGATCTAGTTTTAAGTCTTATGTTCCACTTTGAACGTTTACTGTCTGCATTAACTGAGGTTCTAGGCAGCGTCTGGGAATCAGAGGAAGTTCCATCGGGTTCGTGTAAGTCACTGATCATCCCGATATACAAGAAGGGAGAAAAGTCTTCTTGTGATAATCATAGAGGGATTAGCTTGACTAATATAGTATCTAAAGTCCTAGGCCCAATAATACTGCGTAGAGTAAGTGGTGCTTGGGAGACACAAACACGAGAAAACCAGGCAGGTTTTAGGCCAGAAAGAGGGTGTCCAACAATCATTATTTTTCTTGACCTAAAGACGGCATTCGATTCTGTCGTCCGAGAGGTACTCTGGCGATGCTTGGCTGTAAAGGGAATACCGAGAAAATACATTGCACTGATTAAGGCACTCTACTCGTACTCATGCAGCCAGGTGACGGCTTACGGTGAGTTATCATCTGAAGTGGTGACGACTAGTGGCGTTCGTCAAGGATGCCCATTATCCCCATTCCTATTCAACTTCATCATAGAGGTACTAATGGACTTGACCCTAACTCACTTCAGCGACTCAGGGATTGACTCGCTACCAGGGAATAATCTCGTCGACTTAGAATATGCAGATGATATAGTCCTTCTAGGCGAGGACACTGACAAAATGCAGAGTCTTCTGAACACCTTGAGCTGCAATCTTCGTATGTTTGGCATGCGATTCGCCCCTGTAAAATGTAAGATGTTGCAGGATTGGACTACACCGACCCCTAGACTAAAAATAGGAAGTGAAGTGGTAGAGCACATTGTCCGCTTCACTTACTTGGGAAGTACCATCAGCCCTAACGGGTTGATCGCTGACGAAATCTCAACACGAAAACAGAGGGCTAGTTTCGCATATGCCAGTTTACACCGTCTCTGGTGTAGGCGTGATATCCGATTATCGACAAAAGGGCGTGTGTAGTGCTCATCAGTCCTCTCCGTGCTCCTTTATGGATAGCTATGAGACCTGGCCATTGAGAGTGGAAGATATGAAAAGGCTGGCTAGCAATCTTTGATCATAGGTGCCTGCGTTCTATCTCCCGTGTGAAGTGGTATAATAAGGTGAGCAATATTGAGGTTAGGCGTCGAGTTCTAGGTAAGGAGGGGAAATCAGTCGACGAGGCTGTGAAATTACATTGACTGAGATGGTTAGGACATGTGTTACGTATGCCTAGTCATCGCCTTCTTCGTCAGCGGGCAATGTTAGCTGATATAGGGTCAGGCTCGAAAAGAGCCAGCGGCGGTCAAACTAAAACATGGCACCAGTCAATGAAATCTACAACAGTTAGTCTAGGCCATGTAGGTAGGTGTAGACTTCCTGGTTGAGGTCCTCGGGACGGTAAAAACCAATGGTTGGAAACAATTGGTAACATGACTCAAAATCGTTCTCAGTGGCGCAGATGCCTCCACTCCTTGTGACTTATGATTTCAAATGAAACTTTTGTTCTCCGTTATTACTATTCCTTTGTCTCACACCTCTGTTTACTGTCTATATTATGCATTTCTTCTACTTCCTTCTCTTGCTTTGTGTGCTACATGGAGTGTGGTGACTTGAACTGCCGCACATATATGCAAAGTTCATTGTCGAAAACAGACAGACAGACAGACTTTGAACGTTCAGGAATAAAAAATCCTTAAAATTAGTGGATCATTGCAAACGTTTTATGAAGTAGAAAACTTCACAGTCAAATGCCTGTGGTTAATGTGATGGTGTGGCGTGTGCTACGGATAAGATTTATCAGCAGTATATAAAGAGACGTCCATCAGCCGGCGTAAAAAACATCAAATAGCAGAGAGATAGATTTGATTTCAGAGCAAGTAAATGATACAGCGTTGCGGAGATAGATGCATGGGAGGTGTGAAGGGAACACAAAGAAACACAATACGAAGGCCAGAAGTAACACAGCAAATGGTGCGTTGAAGATGTGGTGTGCATAATATGGCTATATAGAGATACCAAATTGCAAGTAAACATTCCCATAGCAAGTCTTTTATCTTCTGGCGTTACAATGGGGCTTGTTTAACGATTATTTTACCGTCCCACTAGCCACAAAGTACAGCAGTACATCATCGTGAAAGGTAGCTAAAGACAAAACAAAATTGTGAATGACGCGTGAAGTCATTAAATTATATATACAGACACTAAAGGGGTATGGTTCCAAGACAACAGTAAAAACAAATCTGTACTATTGTCGTCCATTTTAACTCATCCCCTGGAGTCTGCAACCTTCAGTTTTAGGTGTTCTGTGGAGTCTAGTTTTATCATTCATCCTCAGACCAATAGTCAAAGTGTACCATGTTTTGTTCTACTCATTACAACATGAGATTCATTTCGCGTAAGCACAAAAAATGTGGTGGTGTAATTTATTGGCTGAAGTACTCAATTCTTGAAACTTTCCCTACTCACTTTGCTGAAGGAAACTAGATGGCATGCTAAAACACTATACAGAGCTTAATGTTCAAATCCATCGTTTCTCAATTACATCATTATTCTATTACTAAAGGTTTGGAATCAGCGTTTTCCAACTCCCGTAGGTGTATACCTGAATGTCCATCAGTTCGGTTGTAAGTGCTAGACGTTCTCATTCACTCTTTTACTTTTTTGAGGAATATCCGTGGTGCATGAATGCAGTGGATAGAGCTTACCTAGTAGAGGCTATGAGTGCCTGGCCACGTAAGAGCATTTCGAGACAATGACTGAAATCTGTCCACCCTCAGCCGTACCAGGTCGTGTATAGGTGTTCGTATATGTTTGAAAAAAGTAAAATGTTACTCAATACACAATTGTTATTCCGTGTGGGCAATCAGTGGGCAATCAGTAACACCTATTGTGTATGAAGACTAATAGTACTGTCTGGTTGCTCAAACCTCGGTATTTGGAGTGGGGTTCGTACCCGCGGTCCATGCAATCCTTTTCACTATCATGGCTGTAAATTTTTTACGTCCTTTTGCGTGTAATTCATACTCATTCGGTTTATTTTCTCTTCCTTTTTTCGTTTCAAACTCTCAACTTCAAAATATATACTATATACATATTTTGAATTTTTTACTCGCATGAACATTATTCCTCCTGCCAAGTAATTACAGTTCTCATAGTAATCATTTTTGAGCGATGTTGACCGTTTAGTGTTTTTGGATTACGTAAGAGTAGTTAACTAAGTTTCATAGTTTATTGAAATTATTTTCCCAGGTATGTTTTGTTATCAACTAATATTAATATAAGTGACCTTTGCAGGCATTTCTATGACCTTTTAAAACACTATATAACTAAACTGTATGACTTTTTCT